TGTACGGGAATGAGCGCGAGCTCTTAAGACAGAAAAGAAAAATCTTTACCAACATGGGGTGGAGTGCCTTGCCAATACATGGTCGAAAGATAGGAGTAAGGAAGTTGGTCGCAAAGTGAAGAATTTAGTCCACTGTTCAGTCTAAAATGAGGTGGAAAGGATGAAGGACGTGCGATCTTTTTGAAGAACGAGAAGGGAGGTGGAGAAGTATATCAGAGGTAAATTGCGTTTAGTTTAGGCGTGGGACCGAGTTGGTCCGACGTGGAACGGGTCGGCGAAATTAAAATTTCCGCACCCTAAGGGAGAGGCCGGGAAACTAGTCGAGGAGAGCGAAGGTCTGATAAATGAAGGTTTTGTCGAGGGGCCCCAGTCCTGAAGCAGGTGAGAAAAAGCACGGCAATAGGTACAGGGCATGGAATGCTAAAAGTGGTCCAAAGACGAGGCGGGGGGAACGGGGGGCGGTATCAAGAAGGGGCCCGGGGGTTAAAAAGGTTCAGGACTAGGCGCCATGGGGTTTGGTTATTCTTTCTTTTTTTTTTTAAGAAAAAAAAAAAGAAGAAAGAAAATAAAAAAAAAAAAAGAAAAAAAAAGGGGGGACGGGGAGGGAATTCCCGGAGGGTAAAGGGGCCCGAAATCTCCCTCCGCGCCCAAGAGGACTCGACACCGCATAGCGCAGATGCAGCTGGAAAAACCCCTGCCATACCCTATTCATGCCAGTAAACCGCAATCTGGGATAGCAACCCCACTCGCCCAGCTACCCCGGTGACAAAAGAGAGGGGGGCCGGATATCCCCAAAAATACCTCCTTCAGCCCCCACCCCCGGAATCCGAAAGGGGGCTTCCAAAAGATACCCTCGCCCCAAAAAACCCCAAGCTACTCCGGGATACCGGAGGGGATCGGGGACATCCCCAGCAATCCCGATTTCACGGCAAACTACGACCGCCAAGAAACCTCAAAGGAATGGGATCGACCCGGTGTCCCTTTTCCCCTACCAGGAATAGCGTGCCTGTGGGAGAAAAAACCCCAAAGGGGAAAAAAAAGGAAGGGCAAAAGGGAGGAGGGGGGGAGGAGGAGGGAAAAGGGAAAAAGGGGGGATGGGGAGGAGGGGGGGGGGAGGGAAGGGGGGTAATTAGGTTCGGGCTGAGGAAGAAACCCCATAGGTCTAATTCCTCAGCCAAGAGCCTCTTCACAGCCCGGAGCCCCCCTTTAAAAGGCGTGTGGGTGGAGGTCCGGCCACTACCATAACTACCACACCTGACTTTTACAATAAACACTACTCATTCTCACCCTACTTAAGTACATATTATATAAGTAATTTGGGTTGTGTTGGTGATTTTACTCCTTATTGTTTTTTAATGCCTAGGTTCTTAATATATACAGTGGACCCCCGGTTTAAGGTATTTTTTTTTTTTTTTTTTTTTTTTTTTTTTTTTTTTTTTTTTTTTTTTTACTCCAGAAGTATGTTCAGGTGCCATTACTGACCGAATTTGTTCCCATAAGAAATATTGTGAAGTAGATTAGTCCATTTCAGACCCCCAAACATACACATACAAACGCATTTACATAAATACACTTACATAATTGGTCACATTCGGAGGTAATCGTTATGCGGGGGTCCACTGTATTAGTGTAAACTTGTTATCTGGCATTTATATGCATTTATAGGTGGAAAAAATGGCGTTCTGCTTTCCTGCGATGTTCGCTTTCCCGTGGTAGCCTGGAACCAAACCTGCCGTATAAGTGGGATCCTACTGCATTTGTTTACTTATTCAGTGACAATAGTTATTTACTTCTTTATTTGGCATATAAACAAGCAAAGTTTATTTCTTTGCCAGGTTACATTGAGATTATGTAATTACAATAATGGGGTACAGTGCAAAGAGCCACTATCATGCCTAGGCATTATGGGCAGACTTAATTTAATGGCTTATATACTACTTAATACAGTGGACCCTCAGTTAACGTCATCGGATAATGTAAAATTCGGATAACGACATTTTTTATGTTGAAATATTGGCTCAGTTAATAACAAAGAACTCGGTTCAAGTCATTTGTCCCGATCGTGTCCGCGCGGCCTAAGCAGCCCGGCCACTCCATGTACAGCCAGTTTGCCATTGTTTACAAGCCAGTAAGGATTATTCCACACGTACATGCGATACATTTGGTATTATTCCATTGTTTTTAGTGCTTGTAACTGCTAAATAAGCCACAATGGGCCCAAAGAAAGCTTCTAGTGCCAGCCAGCCCTTTGGTAAATGGCTGAGAGAGAGGGGATAATGTGCCTTTTTCAGTAATTCTGCAATATGTACAATACTAAAGCAGCAGGAGTCTATAAAGGCTATAGCAGCAGCCAGCGATAAAGTGTAGCATTAACTGTAGCAAGTAAGTTAAGCGATTAATCGATAAAAAAAGGATAGCATGAACCTAACTCCTCCAATGTTGTTGGAGTTATTTAGGGCGACTGACAACACTGCCGTCTCTAGTCTCTACCGCTGCTACCACCTCCACCACCACGTACGGCTTATGTTCTCAGTGGCGCTTATACACCCAACAATAACAGAGCAACACTCGTGACAATGACGTATTTTATTCATTCTAGAGTATATGTCATTTTTCTATGTTATTATTGTTTATTATGTCATACAGTGGACCCCCGGTATTCGATATTAATCCGTTCCTGAGAGCTCATCGAATACCGATAATATCGAAAACCGAATCAACTTTCCTCATAAGAAATAATGGAAATCAAATTAATCCGTGCAAGACACCCAAAAGTATGAAAAAAAAATTTTACTACATGAAATATTAAGTTTAATGCAATAGAATAATTACAGTAAGAATAAAATAATTGACACTTAACTTTAATGAAGATCTGGTGATGATTGATGGGATGGGAGGAGGGAAGAGGTGTTAGTGTTTAGAAAGGGAATCCCTTCCATTAGGACTTGAGATAGCAAGTCCTTTTCCGGGGTTACTTCCCTTCTTTTAATGCCACTAGGACCAGCTTGAGTCACTGGACCTCTGTTGCACAATAAATCTGTCCATAGAGCTCTGTACCTCCCGTTCCTTTACGATTTGTCTAAAATGGGCACAACATTGTCAAATTTTAAAAGTCACCAGCACGGCTTGCAATAGCTGGTTTTAGGGTGATTTTCATCCATAAAGGTTTGCACTCAACCCACTGTGGCACATTTCCTTAATTTTTGAAGTAGGCACAATGGATTCCACAACTGGCATAGGCTTCTCAGGGTTAGCCCCAAACCCTTCAAAATCTTTCTTTAATTTCCATACTACCCCACCCTCTTACCACAGGTTGGCACTAGAAGCTTTCTTGGGTTCCATGGTGACTTATTTGCAGAAACAAACACCAAACACAGTGATAATATGGATAATATGGAATGCACCGAATGTATCCTTAATGCGCGCACATGGCTGGCTTGTAAACCTGGCACACATGGGGCAGTTCAGGCCACACGTGGACAGGGCTCGTACGAATCATATCGAATACCGGGTTTTCAATCGAATACCGAAGAAAATTTTTTGCGATATAATGCATCGAATACCGAGCCATCGAATACCGGGGGTCCACTGTATTAGATGAATTGTGCTAGATAAATAAGCCAAAAGAGCTAATATTAGTGAAATATTGAAGGGCTATCTTGTGTCTCCCCAACCAATTCCTAACATAAGCCGAATTTGACCCCTCTGGAAAACTTTGAGTGACAGGGGTCCAGTGGCTCTCAAGCTGGTCCTAGTGGATTAAAAACAAAGGAGGAAGTAACCCACGATAAGGACTTTGTACCTGAAGTCTTTATGGAGTGGGATTCCCCTTCCAAACCAAATGAAACTCCCTTCCTCTCCCTTCCCCCTTCTTCCATACCTCACCATGTCTTTCAATAAAGGTAAGCGTGATATTATTGTTGTATTCCCCATGTACGTGTACTATTGTTTTCTGTGTAGGTAAATGCATTTTTTCACATAGAAAACATTTTTTAATACTTTTGGGTGTCTGAAACGGATTAACTGGATTTCCACTACGTATTTCTTATGAGCAAAAGTAATTCGGATAATGACAAAATTGGTTAAAGACAAGCTCTCTGGAATGGATTAATGTTAACTGAGAGTCCACTGTACTAAAAAAATTGGTCATAGTTGGTTTTAAATTATACATCTTTGTTTATAGCAGACAGTAGTTTACTCTAATTACAATAGTTTCAATAATGAATATTGAAATTAAATTATGGGAATATAACTTGTGAGATATTGAAAGTAGTTTACAGTATTAGAATGCTTTATGATATTTTAGACTTAGGATGGGTTCATCAGAACATAACCCCACTGTAAGTCAAGGAGCACCTGTATTTTAAATTATATGTAATTTTTGTGCAAGATTTGAAGAGCTTGGGAGAAATAAAGAAGCATTAATTAATCTTGCACCTTAAATTGCACTATTCAAATCGTTACTAATCGAGACCTGG